TGGAGTCCCGGGATCGAGTCCCGCATCGGGCTCCTTGCTCAGCGAGGAGTCTTTTTCTCCCTCTGACCCTCCCCACCTCATGCTTTCTCTCTCTCTCAAATAAATAAATAAAATCTTTAAAAAAAATAAATAAGTAAAATGAGACAATTAACCACAAAGCATTTGTCATTATCACCGGCAAGGGGCAGTTAAGACATAAGCTTCCAGATGTCAGTAAGAAAAAAAGTCCATCAGCACAGAAACATTAACCTAACAGGTAGACAAATACGTGACCAAAGCCCTGATTGGCACGACTCAGCAAACCCTGACTGCTTAAGATAGCTCCTCAAAAGGGGTCATAATAACCCCTAAACTTAGAAACTCTGAGGACAACCCACTGGGCCCCCCTCCCTTTCTGGGAGCTTTATACTCTTGCTCAATAAACTTTGCTTCGCTGCCCACCACTGTTCATCTGGTCTACCTCTTCATTCTTGGAAGTGGTGTGGACCAAGAACCACGGGCATTAAGGGGACACAAATCCTGCCACATTATGTTATCAAAGGGACAGAGGTGTTGAGCAGAATGGAGCAAAAGAGCACAGAAAGGAGAGCTGTGGAAGTAAACAGAAGAAACAAGAAAGAGGGACTGAGTTCAGCAAAGTAAACTTGGGCAGGTGAGGGGAGAATGGATGGAAAAGCAAAATACCTGTGGCTAAACTCACCTCCAAATAGCTTATTTCAATAGCATTTCTTAGGCACTGGGGAAGCTAAGGGAAGGGGAAAAGAGATGAGAACCCAGACAGTGCTGGGGCACCTGGATGGCTCAGTCAGTGGAGCATGCGACTCTCGATCTCGCATTTGTGGGTTCGAGCCCCACCCTGGGTGTAGAGATTACTTAAAAATAAAATCCTTAAAAAAATAAAATGATAAATTTAGTAAATAAATAAATAAAAGTAAAGTGCTTTCTGCTTCATCGTCATTATCACGTCCATAAATTATTATGGCTATCTTTCGCCCAATTATCAAAAGCACCTAGAACTGATTGAAACCGCAGGACAGTAAAATCAGATGAGAGGCCAAAGTTCACTGGAACTCTAATATTACCAGCACTAGTCTTTCTAGTCTTTTGTTTTTTTTTTCAGGCTCTCGAAACTTTGAATAAACAAATCCAACAGCCAGTGAAAACCGACACACCCAGAAACTCTCAGCAAAACATTTACATCATAGTTCACAATAGACTGTCCTATTCCATCTACAGGTGGCCTCGCCTGGAGCTAAAGGTCGAAAGAAAACAATTCCCCACACCTTCATGCTTTATGGGGGGAAAGAGGAGGAGGAAAAAGAAACCAAGCAGGCCTCAAGGCAAGGTCAGGTACATAGGAACTCCACTCTCAGTGGTGTGTACCCACCAGACCTTCTGATGTTCCTAAGACTGTTTCCTTTTGGCTCCTTAACTAACTAGAAGAAAATCTCATCTACAGTTCTAGATTTCTTAAAATCAGACATACACAGGGATGCCTGGGTGGCTCAGTCAGTTAAGCGTCTGCCTTTGGCTCAGGTCATGATCCCAGAGTCCTGGGATCGAGCCCCGCATCGGGCTCCCTGCTCAGCGGGGAGTCTGCTTCTCCCTCTGCCTGCTGCTCCCCCTGCTTGTGCTCTCTCTTTCTCTCTCACAAATAAAAATCTTTAAAAAAAAAATCAGACATACAGAATGCCAGAGCTATGGGAGCCTTCAAGATGACCAATGTCTTTATCCCTAACCCTGACCAGCAATCCCCACCCTTAGCGCTCTTTCCTCCACTCCCATTGGCTAGAACAAACCTGTGTCCAGGTTTCTCAACTAACCCTCATGGCAAGAAGTCAGTCTGCTCAAAGAAACCTATGACGACAGTTTCTGAGGATGCTTCCAACTGCTTCCTAACAGGGTTTCTGAGAAATAAAGTCTCACTTCAGACATCTCTGAAGACATGTTAGGTATCAGTAATATATATTTCCCAGATATTTTTGGAGAGAGGAACTTGCTAAGCTTTCAGCAAATCACATCTACACATACTGGTAGAAATAACAATATATATAAAAAAAGGGAACTGCTCTAATCTCTCTCTGCCTCACTGAAGTATTTCCTAAGTATCCATGCAATTAGACACTGTAATTTGCTAGGCTGTTATTGATGTAAAAACTTCAGACGTATGGCACCTGCTACAACTCCAAAAACACCCTTCTTAACCCAAGACAGCAAGCACCCTAAGCAACAGTGTTCCCCTCCAAAATGATAACCAGGAAAATAAACGGGGAGGGGGAGGAATGGTACTGTTTTGCATAGACCAAGTTCTTTCTGCATGATTCCTTTAGAAGCCATTTCTTTTCAGTGCCTAAATACACGTCTTAAAAATGGAAATCTGAGGGGCGCCTGGGTGGTTCAGTCAGCTAAGCGTCCAACTCTTTTTTTTAAGATTTTACTTATTTATTTGAGAGACAGAGAAAGAAAGCACAAGTGAGAGGAGGAGCAGAGGGAGAGGGACAAGCAGACTCCATGCTGAGCATGGAGCCCAATGCTGAGCTAAATCCCACGACCCTGAGATCATGACCTGAGCCGAAATCAAGAGTCAGACCCTTAACTGATTGAGCCACCCAGGCGCCCCAGAGCCCAACTCTTGATTTGACTCAGGTCATGATCTCAGGGTTGTGAGATCAAGCCCCATGTCGGGCTTAGTGCAGAGTCTGCTTGAGAATCTCCCTCCCCCTGCTTGTGCATGAACCCCCCACCAAATAATATATAAAATCCAAAAAATCTGGTTTTCATTTTGCAGTAAAACAATTTCCACTTATCATAGCACCTTCTTTAAAGATCTGAGTAAAACATGAGGGCACAACTTTTGCAACAAACAAAAACAGTAATTCTAAGAACATAGTTTCACAAAGCACTAAAGGTCAGGTTTAGAGACAGAAACCTGGTGTTTTAATAAAATACCGGACATTTGCTGATTTTTTTTTTTTTTAAAACACTTACCCACTCTTCAACATTGGGGGGTTGTTCGTCATAAATATGTTCCTTGTCCCACAAAATATTCGACTTGTCATACTGGTCCATCTTTCTTCGAGTTTTCACAGCAAAGAAAATTATTAAAGCAAAAGCCACGATAACCATGAACCCCAGTACAATCGCAATTGCCTAAAAAGAGATTAAAGATATTGACACAGATTTTAATTGTTTACTTTATCCTAATCCACCCTCAGTAAAAACCTAAGGCCCTACACTACATATCTGTGGTTTGACAGATATAAAACTGATAGTCACATTTTAGAAATATAAAATGTTGGGCTGAGGCTAACAACACATACACAGCTTAATTCAATACTCAAAACAGGCTTTAAGTTAGGTACTATCATTCCCTTTTAAATTACAGAAATCTAGTTCCAAAGCTTGAGCACCAAGTGGCCTTATTTTTATTAACAGATGAAAATGGCCAGTAAATTAACTCAATCATCAGTATCCTTCGAAAGGGCTTGAAAAATGTTATTCTCAGAAATAGCTTTAAATACATAACCATGTTTATAATCTTGTTCATAACACACACTGGGCAAATGTTTTTACACTGAATGTAAATTCCAATCTATAGAGGATCTACCTTACCATAAATTATGAGACAGGATCTAACCAAACTATAAATTAGAGAAAATGGATGAGTGATTCATGTAGTCTGGCAGGTGGTTTCTGTTAGAGTCGTCTTTTGTGTACTCAGAAGAAAGGGCCCTGTGACAAGGAAACCTTTGCCCCGACAGTTCTTCCAGTGTCTGATAAGTATGTTAAGTGGTCCACTGGCCTGGAGACACTTGAAATTGAGGCAGTAACAGGACCCTGGCCTGGATTCTGCTCATCGTAACAGGAGGGTCTCTGTGCAGCCATCTAACAGTGATATCCTTTTTCAGTGATTACAGGTTTTGGGCACACAGAGGACTAAGAGAGATGGGGGTGTGGTAAGAGAGGAGCACCAACCCTCAGCCCTGTTTACCAGAGATACATCTGAATGCCAACAACAAATATTCTGAAATTCAGAGGGAAAACATTTCAGTCTTCAAAATAATGGTAGTTACTGGGGATGATCTCACCCCAAAAGAGTGACTCATTCAGGTAAAAGAGTGAGAATTTCTGAGTCACTGTAAGGAGAGGGGAAAAAAATAGGGAAAAAAAAATTAGAAATCCATAAGGAAAAAGATTAGCAACTTCACACCTATTAGCATGGATAGAATCAAACAGACAAAACAATGCTGGTGAGCATGTATAAAAATGGAATCCTCACACATTTCTGGTAAAGGTAAAACAGTGCAACCAGTTTGGAGAACAGTCTGGCAGTTCCTCAAAAGCTTAAACACACAGAAGAGACATCATAAGACCCTGCAATTCTATCCCTAGGCATATACTCAAGAGAAATTAAAACACAGGTTCACACAAGAAATTGTACACAAATGTTCAGAGCATTATTTATAACAGCCAATATGGACATAGCCCAAATGTCCATCAATTGATGAATGAATAAAATATGGTATAGCCATACAATGGAATACTATGCAGCAATCAAAAGGAATTGATATAACATGCATGAACCTGGAAAACATTAATGTGAAATGAAAGCCAATCACAGGGGCGCCTGGATAGCTTAGTCGGGGGTGGGGGTGAGCATGTGACTCTTGATCTTGGGGTTGTGAGCTCAAGGCCCACGATGGGTCCAGAGATTACTTAAATAAAACTTAAAAAAAAAAGAAAGAAGTCAATCATAAAAGATCACATAATGTGTGATTCTGTATATATGAAATATCCAGAATAGGCAAATCTATAGAATAAGATTAGTAGTCGGCTAAATCTTGGAAGGATTAGAGAAAGGAGAAGTTACTGCTAATTCATATGGGGCTTCTTTTGAGGATAGTGAAAATGTTCTAAAACTGATTATGGTGCGGGCGCCTGGGTGGCTC